GATACCAGACGACATTCACGATGAGTGGGGGAACATCTTGACTTCCCCAATTGCCCATATCCAGCTCCCGCACGCCGAGGTTGTCTGTTAGAACTTAGTAGTACTTGACTGGCCACTGGTGGTATTTCGATTGCCCCGCAACCTCCCCCCGCTCCCCGCAACGCCCCCGGTCCTGGAGCTCAAAAAGCCGAGCTTGGACGCCCGTGAACCAAAAAGAGCTCCTTGCAACATTGCAACATCCCCGACAGACCACGCAGTCCATCATTACATCGACATGACCGAAACGGGCTGAAGGTTCAAAGTGCACTCTAGGGCATTGCCCAGCAACCGCCTCACCGTCCATCTTTATTCATTATTTACCGGGCTGTGATACCTCCCCTCAGTAACCCCCCATCCCAGTGGACCAACACGCCTGTCCTGTCTCAATCTCAATCCCACCCAGTTGGCTTGTCTTCTGTCTTCTTGGCGGCAAGCACCCGACAGCCATTCTGCCGCTTCCCGCCATGCATGCCGGGAGCCCGGCTCTCCCTTGACCGCTGTACGCTGAGACGCTGAAGCTGCCGTGTCGCCTGCGGCGTCAACAACGGCGGTGACGTCGCACAGAGGCTGACGGAACCCCACGTCTCCAGGCGAGACGTCCCCGTCAGACGGGCCAGTCCCGCATCCCGCCTCTTCAGCGCCGAATTCTCTCCAGACGATTCTCATCTTCCCGTGTTGTCGGTCGCAGGTTTTCCGCAAACCACCTTCCGACTGGCCGGTTGAAGCCCCCGAGCGACTGTTCCCGAACCATTCGTCCCGACCTATTACCCCACCCCTCGGCAACCCCAAATCTGCCCTCATCACGCGCGCCGTCTGGTCGTTTCAACTTGTCCATACCATGTAAGCGGTGCCGGAGAAGAGTTTGGCCAGCAGGAGGCATGAAGGCTGACCAAGTTTCCTGTCAGACGCCATCTACCTCGAACGTTCCACTCCGCGATCATATCAAGACTGCTTTCAGGTTTCAACTAACCCCCAACCAACGCGAGTTGCCCGCTTGGCCGAAGTTGAGAGACGCCAGACACACAAGGCCCGCGAGTTACCAACACGCGATCGACGCCGATCCCCACGTCCATCGTATACAGTCTCAGGTTCGCGGCGACCATCTTCTCCAATTTCTCGGCGCCCAGACGAACACCTCCCCTCACCAAACAGAAAACGACCAGGGGACTGAAGCGGGCGCATAAACTTGGCTGCCAGTGCTCCCGTGTGGGGAAGCTGTGGTTGGGGCGGCAATAGCATGAGAGAGTTCCCGCCTAATCTCGATCTACCCGGCCCCCCTCTACAATCTGCCGGACAGCGGGATACACGAGACGTCATCCGCAATCTATCTGCTAAGCTGGATTTGGGTTGTCGGGACGTTCCAGAGAGTTTCGCCAGGCACCGCCTGCCTTCGGCACCAGGGAGGCAATCCTCCCGGGCCGGCTTGAGACGTGATGCGACGCAGTCGAACCCCCTCGGCGGCATCGCCCTACCGCGCCCTGGCGCACCACCATGGCGGCGCCGCGTCGCAGCAGGACCAGCAGGCGCGTGACTCGGTGTCGTCGGTTCTCAGGTCCTTCAACGTCGAGACGAACCCGACCCGGCCCATGCGCCCCTCGCCGCTGACGGCTTCGACCATCCGCGACATGCCCCTCGACTTGGTCGACCGCATCCGCTCATTCCCGCTCTTCATGTCTGCCCCCGACGATTTCCTCGCCGCCATTGGCGCCCATCTAAGGCCGCAGATTCACTCCGCACACGACCACATTCTCACCGAGGGAGACGAGGCGAGAGCGATGTACTGGCTGGTCCGTGGCGTCGTCGCCGTTACGTCTCGCGATGGCGAGGCTGTCTACGCTGAACTCAAACCCGGCGCATTCTTTGGCGAAATTGGCGTGCTCATGGACATGCCGAGGACGGCCACCATTATTTCGAGAACAAAATGTCTGCTGGTCGTGCTTAAGAAGGAGGACCTCCAGGCCGAGCTGCCCAAATACCCCGAGATGGAAAAGGCAATACGCCACGAAGCACAGGAAAGGCTGGCCATCCTCAAGAAGAAGCGCCAGGAGGGCGGCCATGTGAGCGGGATTCCAGACACAAGCGGCGCGAACCTCGCGCGTGAGCCAGTACACGGCGAGGTTAGCACGGGGGATGTGGGCGTTATCAAGGAGGGAGCCGTCGTGAACACCAAGAAGCGCAAGTCGCCCAGTCCGGGCGTGATCGAAGACCCGGCAATCAGCGGCAGTGCCCTCGGCGGCGGCTACGTCAATGTCCGCAACACACTCAAGGAGCTTCCACTGTTTGCGACACTGCCTTCCGACATTCTCCATTTCCTCGGCTTGAGCGCTCAGCCCAAGTCTTATCCGCCATTTACCGACATCATTTGCCAAGGCGCTCCCGGCAATGATATCTATTTTATCGTCCGCGGCGACGCCGAGGTGGTGCAAGAACCGTTCAGTCCGACCTTTAGGAGGACCACGAGGGCCACCTATTCGCGCCCGAGGTTAAAACAAGGCCAGTATTTTGGGGAGGTAGCGAGCCTCGGGCTATCTGAATGGAGGACGGCCACGGTGCGGTCTGTAACCGACGTCGAGTGTCTGATAATCCCGGGCGATGTTCTTGACGAACTGTGGAGGAGGTGTCCACCAGGGGTCAAGTCCCAGGTGGAAGAGACCGCGAGGGAGCGTTTCCACCCCGAAGATATCGAGATGGAAGATGTAGAAAGAGATGGCGCGGAGCAAGCAAGAGTGGAGGAGGACCAACAAGCTGCCACCCCCACCGTCGCTGCCCCCACCGTCACCTTTACCATGCCCTCGAAACCTGCGTCACCAGCATCGGACGAGGCAGAAACACGACGGCCGTCGGACCCCGATCCGTTCCTAAGTGTTGATATGGAGAACCTTCGCAACAGGCGGCGCAACTCCCTCGCTCCCCCAACCCCGCAGACCGACTCTAGTGTCATCGTGGGCGGAATCAAGGTGCCACCGGTCGCGCCAGCTCCGCCTCTCCTGTCGCCAATCTCCCTAGATGATTCTCCCCTACCCGCCAAACGCGCACGCATTTTCCCCCAGACCGAAAGGGGAAAGGAGAGGGCAACATTCCCAGACAGCATCTGGGTCAGCGTGTTTCAGCACTTTGATCTCCTCGACATGATTCGTCTCAGGATCGTCTGCAAGGGGTGGCGCCAGCTGCTGACCACCAGCCCTGGGCTCTGCACACACGTTAACCTCGGCCCGTTCAACAGAAAGGTGAACGACTGGTCTCTAACCAACATCCTGGCGCCGTTTATTGGCACGCGCCCGGTCGAGATGGACATTAGCAACTGCTTCCACATCACCGACGAGGGGTTCCAGGCTCTCTGGAGATCTTGTGGTAAGAACGTCAAGGTTTGGCGTATGCGCAGCGTCTGGGACGTGTCGGCCTCGCAGATCCTCGAGATGAGCGACTGCGCCAAGGGCCTCGAAGAGGTGGACTGGAGCAACTGCCGCAAGGTCGGCGACAACCTGCTCGCGAGGGTCGTAGGCTGGGTAGTCCCCAACCCACCTCCCTCGCGCGACGGGGCCAAAAACGTCGTCATCGCCACCTCCACCGCAAAGTCCCGCCGCTCCCAACGCCCAGGCCAACAACAGCAACAACAACAACAACAAGCAGCCGCCGTCGTCGTCCCGCCACCCCCTCCCCCGGGAACCGTCATCGGCTGCCCGCGCCTCCGCCGCCTGAACCTCTCGTACTGCAAGCACATCACGGACCGGTCCATGGCGCACCTGGCGGCGCACGCGTCGGCCCGCCTCGAGTCCCTCTCGCTCACGCGCTGCACGTCGGTCTCGGACGCGGGGTTCCAGGCCTGGGCGCCCTACCGCTTCACGGCCCTCACGCACCTCTGCCTCGCCGACTGCACGTACCTGTCGGACCACAGCGTGGTCGCGCTCGTCAGCGCCGCCAAGAGCCTCACGCATCTCGATCTCAGCTTTTGCTGCGCGCTGTCGGATACCGCCACCGAGGTGGTTGCGCTCGGGTTGCCGCTGCTAAGGGAGCTGAAGATGGCGTTTTGTGGGAGCGCGGTCAGCGATGCGAGTCTGGGGTGTGTGGCGCTGCATTTGCATGAGTTGAGGGGGTTGAGTGTCCGGGGGTGTGTGCGGGTGACGGGGAACGGGATCGAGAATGTGCTTGAGGGCTGTTCGAGGCTGGAGTGGGTTGATGTGAGTCAGTGTAAGAACTTGGGCGGGTGGTTGGTGGGTGGTGGGGTTGGCAGGTGGGGGTTTGATGAGCGGCGCGGGAGGGTGAGGGACGGGGAGGGTGAGTGGGCGATTGGTGCTTCTAGCCCTGTTGGCGCGGCCAAGAAGGCGCTCGTAAGGGCGGCGCAGGGGGGCAAGATTGGGCCTGGCGGGGTGGGCGGTGGTGTGCAGAAGCTGATGGCCGGGATGAGGCCGCTGGGGCCGGGACCCGTGATGCGGCCGGTGATACCGCCGAAGGGAGCGCCTGTCGGGCGGTCGAGGAAACTGGTCAAGTTTGTGGTGGAGAAGGGGCCGGGCGGGTTGAGATGACGGCCACGTTTCGCCCCCGTGCCGTGTCTCGGACGGCGGCATGTATGTAGGGCGATGAAGTTGGATGACACGCATGGGACGGTTCCCGGGTAAGGGTAATGATGGGATTAGGTTTGGGTTGGCTGCATACGGTGGATAGAAATGACTAGGCAGAGGGCGGGAATCATGTACAAATTTAGCATGGTAGCGGAAGCGGCTGTTGATACCTGGTTGTGTAGCCAACGAAGACTGAGGAGAGTAAATACTAGATGCCCTGATACGAGGTAGCTTGGTCGGAAACAAAGAAATGTTGTAAATGGTCAAGGAAATGCTAATACTAAATAATAGACACCTCGAAGAGAGCAAAATGAGAAAGAAGAGAACAACCATTGACGTACACCTTGAACTTACGAACCTAATTTAGTAGACACAGGTCAACTTGTCAAGACAAAGAAAAAGCACCCGACGTGGGACTCGAACCCACAACCTTGCGATTGGGACTTCAATAGAAGTCGCATGCTCTACCGGTTGAGCCAGCCGGGCTTCAAGGTATTTACGTAGCGATATTAACAATCTAATTGAGAGTGTAATCCATCCACGTCCCCGCTTACCAGGTGCTCGATGAGTTCTGTCAAGAAAACATGTTCGCCCTGGGACCGTTGGGAATTCATCGTGGCGACTGCTGCGGGTCGGGAGGATAAATCGACAAATGAGAGTACCCAAGGTTGCCGCCACTCAGTGCCGGACGGGGGCGGAGAAGGAAATGGTGATGCAACTCGCAGACGGCTTACAGTTAGGAAGTTAATACTAGTAATTCCCCAATAGCTAGAATATCACCCAGCACGCTCCTAATCGATGACCACGGCAGTCCCGTCCATGGAGAATAAGAGTCCCTAGATATAAATTGCGGTGACTAAAGACGGGTTTGTGCACCGTGAAAATTGTATAGTGATGTCCGGTGCCAATGAAACGACCCTCGAGTCGAGGCAGCACCAGATGGCCTTGGGCGACTGCTCCTCGGTCGGTCCCTTGCGACCATGAGATGGCGTTGTCCGGTTGTGGATTATTATTTAGGTCCCCATCTATAAAGTTGAGGTCTTGTCTGGGCTGCCTCCAAATACCGCCGCAGTAGCCTGGGGATGGGATACCGCGCAGCTCGTCCATATCTCAGCAGAGCTGCGAGACTATAACTCAGTTGTTGGTAGCACCGAGCTTTCCCTATATAGCCTAGAGTTCCTGTCTGGGGATACACTCTTTGAGAACGGAGACGCGGTCCGAGGAGGAACCATGCGGTGCCAGTACTCTCTAAACAGCCGAGGAAGACAACTAGATCATGGCTTTCAGCCTTGCAGGTTTTCATTCTTGCTTTCATCCTTGCTTTTCATCTTTCCTTGTTATTTTTCGACAAAACAATCCGACCATATAAATGGTCAGGGGCGTCTTTACAGTGAATGCCAGTTGGTGACAGCTGGCGGCGTTATGCGAGCCAGGAAAAATAGGACAGAGGAAGTGGCGTGACTCACAGCCCACAGTGACCAACCCCTCCAGGATTTGAGAGAACCCCTCGGGTTTTGAGAGAATTCCTTGGTCCTTGAGAGGAGCGCACCGACAACTACCATCAAAATCACCATGGCGGCACAAACTCCCGTTGTCCGGGTCGGCGTTGCTGCCGTTGTGCAAGACGCACAGGGGCGGATGGTCATGGGCATCCGGAAGGGTTCGCATGGTGAAGGTTGGTAGCTGCGGTGTTAAAAACGATCTAACCCACTAACACGGCCCAGGCCAGTGGCAGTTCCCTGGCGGCCACCTCGAAATGGGAGAGAGCCACTTTGCGTGTGCTGAACGGGAGACGTTGGAGGAAACAGGTCTTGTCGTCCGGGCCGAGAAGCTCATCACCTTGACAAACGACATCTTCAGCCCGACCAAGCATTACATCACTATCTTTGTGCTGTGCCGGAGGGTTGACGAGACTCAAGAACCACAAGTAAGAGCATCACTATATCCTGCCTTGACCTTGACGCTAATGTTGAGGGTGCAGGTCTTGGAGCCCGAGAAATGCGAGCGCTGGGCGTGGAAGTCCTGGTCTGACGTCAAGGCCGTTATCGCAGGGGAGGTTGAGCAAGCACGGATTTTTCTGCCTATCATCAACCTGCTCAGGGATTATCCCGACGTTGAGGCCGTGGTCGCCCAGAAGTGACGAAATCCCAAGAACCGATTCCATGCCGCAATGACGAAGTATCTCGTGACAGGACTGAGTCGAAGGTTTATAGTCTCGGTCGGAAGGAGTATCCCTCGGTGCGCCGACGGCCGATAGCAACCCTTCCCGCTCCGTCAAGCCGGCTGGTTGAGTTGCTTGGCTCCGATAACTATTTCAAGGTTGCCCCTCCTCCACTGGTTCGGCTCGATGCAGCGGCATACCCGCCGTAAAGCCGGCCAAGGCCGTCGGATGTCGCTGACGCATGCCAGTGCTTGGTAAACCCAAATTTGGGACGAGGGCTTGTGTCATCCATTCGAGGAGATGGGTTGTGTCGGTATTGAGACACGGAGAAGGGAGTCCTTTGAGGGTCCAATACGTGAGATGTCGATCACTCGATTGTAATTTTTCAAACTATAAAATGGAATCTACCTACGTTCTCAAGCTTCCATCGACTCTTTCACTTTGATCGTGAAAATTGGTGCACACATGCGGAAGGGAAATGTGGACCCCTGCTTTCCCATGCAGTCGGGCAAAGTGGGCAGCGGCAAAGTGACGGCAGAGCGCGGGGCTGCACGGTCCAATAACTGCTGCACGGTCGCACGCACGGCTCCACGCACGGCTCGGCCAGAAACATAATCAAACATTGGCCACTCGGGATCCATTTGCTTGGCGCCGATAGGACTCCTGGAGCCCCACCAAGTTTTAGCAATCAGTCAGGTCTTGTCCGAAATCAACTCACCAAACCCCAAAGATAATATCACTACACCAAAAACACACGCCGTCGCCGCCGTCGACGTCCCCCCCTACGCCCCTTTTTATATCTCGTGTGCCGGCGCCGAGCAAACGACGGCTGGCCCGCGCCTTCCGCCCTTCACGGCCTAACGCTCTTATGAACTCCGCCGATGACCAGTCGATTCCGCCGTACCCCTCCAGTCGACCGCATTGATCGCGCGCATCGAATCTCGCATTGCATCCCGCCTTGCATCTCGCATCGCATCTCGCAGCACCAGACGCTCCTCCCACCAACCTCATCCTACGCGCAACCATGGCTGGGGAAGGAAACTCGACCGCGCGGGCCTCTGGCACCGAGGACAGTCCACGACCAGCTGACGCTGCCTCGACCCCGAGCGCGCAGGACAACTACGATCCGCAGCAAATTATCGCCATGGCCCGCCATCCGCCGCCAGGCGCTTCCGTCTACCCCCCCACCGCCGCTCCGTCGGCTGTTCTAAACCCGCGAAGCTGCGTTACGTGTAGGAGGAGAAAGGTCCGTTGCTCTTCTTCAAGTCCCCCTCTCAAAGTGGTCGTCTTACTAACAGGCTCAGGTCCGCTGCGACAAGCACATGCCGTGTTCCAACTGCCGCCGAGCCCAGATTCCCTGCATCTTCCCGGCGCCCGGCCGGGCACCGCGCCGACCCCGCCCAAAGGACCCCAACGCGCCGGCAAAACAGCCATCGAGCGACCGCGAGGTGGAGTTGATGAAACGCCTCCGTAAGTTGGAGGGAATTGTCGAAGACCTCAGCGGCCAAATCGAAGTCGAGTCGGTGCGTCAGCCCTTCAGCGCCGGAAGCTCGCCCGAAGCGGGAGCTGCATACCCAAAGGATGAACATGCCATCGCGGGGCGCATCGGTCCTGGCCCGAGCGCCCCCAGTGTCGCTGGCAGTTCTGGTCATGGCTCCCCAGGCATTGGCGGGGCAAGGCTAGCGACCAGGCCCGCGTCGGCAACCATGTCCGAAGCAGACTCGTTCGGCAAAGGTTCGCCCGACGTGCACAAGCAATTCGGCCGCTTGGTGTTGAACGAGAAGGGCATCACCCGATACGTCAGCAGCTCGCTGTGGTCGTCTATCAACGACGAGGTAAGCCCGCTGCGCCCCGGGAATCGGGAGAATCGAGTGCAATGCTGACGAGCTCTAGCTGGACGAACTGCGCAAGGCGTCGCAATACCTCACAGACGAGGCATCAGACGAGTCGGACGTCGAAGCCACCCCGGAATCCGCTGACCATGAAAAGAGCTTGGTGGACCACCAATCCTTCATCCTCGGATACCGCTCGGCCGACGTCGACCTGAAACCCCTACACCCCCTACCCTCCCAGATTCCCTTCATCTGGCAGGTTTACCAAGAGAATGTGGACCCCATCCTCAAGGTTATCCACGTGCCGAGCATGAGCAAACTCATCAAAGCGCTCCGCCACAACTTCGATAGCCTCACTCCCTCGACTGAAGCATTGATGTTTTCTATTTACTACGCCTCCATCACCTCACTGGATGAGGACGAGGTACGCCCCGCTTCCCTCACCCACACCACAGTACGAGTAATAGCTAACAATCAACCCGCAGGTCAAGGCGAACTTTGGCACCGAGAAAGAGGTTCTAATTCAGAAGTACCGCTTCGCGGTTGAGCAGGCACTGGCCAAGGCCGAGTTTATCACCAAACCCGACTTCACGGTTGTTCAGGCCTTCATGCTCTTCCTCGTCCTCGTCCGCCGCCACGATGACACGAGATTCGCCTGGACCCTCACCGGCCTCCTCATCCGCCTCAGCCAGGCTCTAGGCCTGCACCGCGACGGGACCCACTTCCCCAACCTGACGCCCTTCCAGGTGGAAATGCGCCGGCGACTCTTTTGGGCCGTGTGTGTCTTGGATCTCCGGTCTGCTGAGGATCAAGGGACCGACCTTAACATTGTCGCTGGGACGTTTGACACCCAAGTCCCTCTCAACATCAACGATTCAGACATCTCCCCCGAGATCGAGTGCCTTCCCGAGCCAAGAGAGGGCACTACCGATATGGCCTTTTCGCTAATTCGCTACGAGATATGCGCACTCTCGAGACGGCTGCACACGGTATCGTCTGACCTGTCGCCTGCCTGCGCTGGCGACGTTGCCAAGTCGCTCGAGGAGCGCGAAGCATTGCTTACCGAAGTCCACCATGGGATCGAACAGCGGCTGCGGAAGGACAATTCGAACCCCATCTTCTGGGCCGCATCCACCGTTACCCGCATTATCGTTGCCAAGATGACCCTCATCATCTATCAGCCCGTGCTGTTTCCCGGCCCGGGCAATGACGTGCTCTCCGAAGAGGTCCGCGCACGTCTTCTCAACGCCGCTCTCGATGTGTTTGAGTACAGCCACGTTCTAAACGCGGACTCCCGATGCAAACAGTGGCGCTGGCTTTTCCAGACCTGGAGCCACTGGCATGCGCTCGCATATGCCCTTATCGAGGTCTCGCACCGGCCGTGGGGCCCCAAGGCGGAACGTGTGTGGACGGCTCTTAATCTGACCTTCCAGTCGCCCAACCCCGCCGAGCTCGAGAAGCTGGCGACCCACCACGCCGTGTGGATGCCTCTG